AAGTTTGTAATTTAATTGACGCGTACACATTAATTATTTATCCTATTACTATTGGTTTTTTTTTTGGTAGGACAGATTCGATTAAATTCTTTTTTTGCTTCATGACCACCATACCAATCACTGGTAAAAATACGTTTCCAATACCAGTCTCTTATTAAATTTACCCAATTTTGATATTTATTATCACTAATTGTTGTGTTGATGCAGTTGAATTTATTGTTCGAAAAATTAAAGAAAAATTGGAACAGTAATGATAAATCATTGCAATCCCAAGACTTCTTAAAATATCCAATTATTAATGCACGGAATAAGTTTTGATTGATTAAAATATCTGTGAAAAATGAATAATCGTGTAGTTTTAAGATGATTTCTTTATGAATAGCAGCAGAATCATTGTTATTTGGAGGGTAAAGTTTGATTGGATGTTGGGTATTTGTAGAAGGTAGATGAATGGTAATTTTGATTGGTTCTGGGAATTTGGAAATAAGATTGTTCAAATACTTGACGACTAAATCCTTTGCATACCTAATAGAAAATAGAATTAATAATCTCTTACTATAGTGATATATAACAAAGACAATAATAAAGAAACGACTTACGAATCAATCAATTTTGGTTCTAGTTTTACAATAGTTTCTTCAAATGGTATAGGTCGATGAAATATTCCCAATTGTTTTTTAAAATGGTTGATGCGAAATTGGAAGCATAGTGTAGGTATGTCATTGTTAAATAAATGAACTTTATGATGTTTTGCTATCAAAATAAATATTGAAATTACTGTTTAGGCCGTACACTGTACAAGTTTCCATCTAATTCTTTCAAACATTAATTATCGATTATTATTGATTCAATATTCCATTCATTTATTAATTCACCAACTTTTTTATTAAGATTTAGCTTTTTAATTGTGCGCATACACAAATCATAATATAAATTACTGACTTCGACTCCACAAAATCATAATATTTTTTCCCGCCTTTGCTACTCCAGACAACGAATGCTTCCTTGCATATTCATCGAAATATTCAGTTCCGTGTGGTAAATTAAAGCATTTCTATCAGTCAATATCATATAAATATTTTAATTATGATAAAATAAACTGGCAATATAATAAATTTTTAGAAGCTTATTCATTGGATTTGTCAACTCTATTCGTTACTAATTGAATATATGCAAATTTAAATTTATTAATTCCTGTAAAAGAAAAAAGAATTGTTTTTCTGAGACATTAAGTTTCACAATGATGACATACAATGTTGATCCAATCAGATTTACAAGTTATTATTAAATTTACAATTTAAATAGCACTTGATCAAATAATTGGCATTAATACTTTATATTTTACAAGTGTCCTCCTCCTCCTTGTCATCATCATCATCATCATTATTATCATCATTATCATCTCCACTACTACTACTATTTTCTCCACCTTCTTCCGAATTATCATCTTCATCTTGATTACCTGAATCATCATTTTCATCATTTTCAACATTATAACCATTTTCATCATTCTCATCTTCATCTTCATTGTTACTATCGTCAGATTTGTCAGATTCTTCATCACTGTTATTACTATCACCACTTGCATCTTCAGAATTTAATTTGGCATTATGTCTACTTAAATTTCGTCTTATTTTTTCAGATTTTTGAAGCGCAGCTTCTAAACTATATGTTTGAGGAATGATCTCTAATTTTTTTTAAAAAATAGAAATCGCTTAAATAATATGATATAAATACAAACATATATGAATATACTTGAATGTTATTTATTTACCTTTTAAAAATTTCAGATTATCAACTTCTTTGACAATATTGGCTTAAAATTATGAAAAAATATATTATTTTTTTTTTTAAATGA